GTATCAACTATACGCTTTTCAACTAGCTTAAGACTAAGTTTTAAACTATGGTTAGTATGTTATTTCTGGTACATATAATTTAAAAATAACTGCTTTATGAATTTGGCTTTACTCGTCAGAATGGAATACTCTATTTTTTTCATATTCAAAAAATATATCACCTACCATGTAACTTATCCAGGTAAAATGGGCGCTTTCCGCGTCGTTGGTGTACCCGTTGTTCTATATACCCTGGGTGTCACAGTGTTCTAAAATTGGATTTCAATTGGGTGTCCCAATAAAAAAAAATCTGAAGACAAAATGAGATAGATTTAGTCTTTCCGCAAAACTGCATAATGCCATTTTTACCTCAGATTTTGTCAGAACCTTCACAGGATCTGAAATGAAATGATGTAGAGTAGATGCATCAACTGTCAAGTCATGCAGTAACCTGGCAGCTGGCTGTTGAATCAAACTTTTGACATATTTTTTTAGCAAAGATGAAATAAAGCCACTTGTCATATTTTTAGGATGAAAACATTTTCCCCATCATGTGTGGTTATTCACCTAAAATTCTGAAACATGGAACACTGTCATACCAGCATTCCATCATGTCAACCAGCATTCCGCAGCATGTTAGCAGAAGCAGCAGCATGTTATAAGTATATGAAAGATCCAAATAGGTTGTAGGTTGGTAGGTATTGGTACTAAGTTTAACTTAATAGGTTAATAGGCAAGGTTAGGATTAATTTTAGTTGAGCATCAAGATAACCATTACGAACAAGTAACAAAATCCTTACCTACCCTTGAAAGCATTGCTTCAATCACATCATCACGAAGAACCAGACAAAATTTTTGCACATTCTTACACTATTTGACATCCTGAATCCAGATATGATGCTTTCATGTGGCGCAAATACAAGAAAAACGAATAATCAAACCCGTGCGTATTCGTATCAACGGCGCCACAATTGTAGATCAGACCTTTTCTGAACAAATGCCACCACAATTTTAATTGATAAGGGATTAAAATGGCATGAGCATCAACATCTTGATTTTTTCTAAAAGATAGCGATAACTGATAACTAATAACTTACCATTCATTTTGAAATCACGGCGGTAGGTACACCAACACATGGCACTGAAAACAGCAAAAGACGGAATGGCGGAATGTCGTATGGAGCCCTAAAACGCAGCTCGAATTGAGCCCGAAAAGGAAGACGAACTGATGCCGCTTTCGGGGCTAATGTACTTTGAGCCCGAAAAGGGCGCCTAACTGATCCCGATTTTAAAATCATACAGATTTGAGCCCTGTTTTGGCACTCATATGAGCCCTTATTCAAAAATGTTCTCAAAGTGTTTTCTGAGTGTACTCTGATGAACTGTCTGCCTTTGAAGTCACCGTCAATGTCAATCAGCTGTTTGTTTCAGAGTAGGTTCACGCAGTGCTGATACAGGCTATGTGAGTCTGTGAGGGATCAGACCTCACAACCTCATCCCTCCAGCCCTCCGGCGTCCTATATCTTCCTCCTAAAAGAGCTGCATCATCATCAACTCGTCCAATCAATGCCTACCTATGTGCAATATATGAATCACCACGTGAGAACAAGTCAGTGCGAGCTTGATCAGACCGCCCTAGTTACATAAGATTTGGAAATGAAGGGTGATGGGTGATGATTGTAATTTGTAAGACTAAAATGGGATGATGTCTGACTAGTTTCGAGCAAAAACAGTAATAATCCTTAGTATACCACTCCACTGGCGGATCCAGATAGGTGGTCCTGGACACTGCGGGGGGCACACCCCCAAAAGTTTCTCCAAATTCCAAAAACCAATCAGATTTCGATTCCTGGTGCACTGCAGTGCAGTTAAAAGCAAACTTTCCCCATACAAGTCGTTTAGTTTTCGTTTTATTCTCTAAAAGCCACAAATTTTATCGATTTCGGGCGCTAGAGAGGGGGGGATTAGCCCGAAATGCCCCCCCCCCCCCTGAATCCGCTAGTGCACCACTCTTCAGCGAAGGCTAGTGGAACTTTTCAGGCGGCGAGTCTAACGAACCGTCAAGAAAGCACCGATTTGCAGAGCTCTTTGCCTAAAGACTCGCACAGCAAACGGTCCGAACACGATCGATTACGTTTATATTGGTCCATGGGGGGATGGGAGTAGGGGTGTTGGCCGATGGGGGTCCATGCCGTCTGTCGACATGACAGTTGAACGGGCGCCAGGGTTCAGGGTTGGTCTGTCCCGTCCAGACGCTGCGATTGAATGAGACTGCTGCGATGCCATGCTGCACAAAAAAATGCGGGACGAAATGGGACTTTGGAAGCGCTCTGTTATCAGGCTAGCCTGCGGAATTAAATAGGACTATTACGGCCTAGTGTTGAGATCAAGGTTTCGGGCTAATTGAGACTGTCTTGATGACTAGCTAAGAAATGGATGCTCGTAAGCTTTGTAACCCGCGACCGCCTGGGGGGGGGGGGTCGGATCCGACCCCCCCTCCGTTTTTCTTGAATAACTCATGAACCGCTTGCGCTATCAACTTGAAACTTCGCATACCTTCTCCCCCATCAATTCGACGTCTCCTGTGCAATTTTTAAGAAATTTTATTCAAAAATTTCTGAGATATATCGATTTTAGTGATGTAACTACATGGCGTTTTCAGTCAAAAAATGGTAAATGTTTAAAAAATCGCCAAAAATCGAGGTTTTAAGCAAATTGCAAATTAAGGACATGAAAAGACGCAGCTCAACGAGGTCTTTAAAATGGCTATCTCGGATTTTCCATAAAATGCGTTTTTCAACCCTAAAAATTCAAAAAACTATATTTTTTGGAAAACAGCTAATAAAATCCAAAATTTTGAGAATTCCCAAAAAACCGGAATATATGTTATAGAGCTCTATTAGAACATTAGATGTCCCAAATTTCAACTTTCTATCTTGATTTTTGACCCCCAAATTGTAAAAAATAGCTCCAACATGCATAGGGCATGGTGACGTCATAAGCATTTTCGCGAATTAGAGGCACTTCTGAACATCGCATGTGAAAACAAATGGCACCACTAGATTCCTGGGACAAAGCTCGTCTAGAAAAGTGCATTTTTATGTCAAAAATAAAAAGTTGAAAAATTGACTTTTTTTCTTAGCCCTCTATGTATGGTATAAACGATTTTTTATGCTTTCAATGCACACTTATCACCAGCACAGTGACTTGGGGTCACATATAACCATTACCATCGGATTTGGCGTGAAAAATAAGCCATAAAACATGTGTCGCACGCCCATGTAGCAGAAAGTGAAAACCGTGACCTTTCGTGACCTGACCTGACCTTGACCCGTACTTAGTATGACCCCTATACGCACATGGTACCTTCACTATGTCTTTGAGGTCATTTGTGGTGAGTTTCGAGCAGCAGCTATCGATTCCGCTGTCCGTAAGCCTAATCATGCAAAACCCCTGAATTTGACCTTTGACCTGACCTTGACCCGAAAGTTGACCTCAATCTTAAAATCTTAAGAGTGCTTTGGGAAGGTCTCGTAGAGACCTTTCGAACGCCGCCTCGCGGGGCTCGATACGACCATTGGTTCTCGAGATAACAGGGGGGGGGTCGGATCCGACCCCCCCCCCCCCGGCTGATGTGGGTACGGAAATAGCCCAGGCGGTACCGGGTTAATGTGGGATTTTTTTCATCTTCTTTCCCCGCTCCATCACATGCCTCGAGTCTACCAGGCGCCAGCATTCTGCGGCCACTTGGCCTGTCTGGTCGTGCTAGACAGAAGGGCTGTAGGGAGGGGGGGGGGGGGGGGGCGCCGACCAGACACCTGGGTCGTCAGCCGGGACACAGTCTGGCAACGCTGGCCCAGCTGTGGTGCCGGCTCTAAACTTGGCTGATGTTTAGGAAGTTACCAACATAAAGTGTCATGATGGGGCGATGTTTCTTTTCGGAATTCCAGGCATTCACCACAAATATGATCGCAAAGTGGTTAGGGAAAGCGGTAAACTGACACTTGAATCAAAACTGGTGGTGCATTTCTGGAATTTCCGGGACTCTGCACAGTCTTTCAGAGCCCTGGAAGGGAGGAGGCGAAGGGAGAGGGGGGGGGGGGGGGTGCATAGGGAAGACTGCCTAGTACGGACGGGACAGCACGGTACTTTACCAAAACTGAGACTGCTTAGTGCTCACCGATGCTTTTCTTTGCTGGAAATGCCGCAACCGCACTATCAACCACCATGCAAGCAGTCGATTCGTGTTGTTTGTTTGAGTGATCGCTCTCATTTTTCCTGATTTTCCGGAGAAAGTTTGGAGCGGCAGATGCCCTTTGACGGGAATTTCATTCATTACTAACCTTTATCACTTCATCACAAAAACGTTCATGAAGGTGAAGAAAGGTGAAGAGAGTGGTTGCTGAATAGGGGTGTGAGCGAACAGCTAGTTTCTGGATAAAGCATTCATTTCGAAGTACGCTGTTTTGATCAAATTGAAATGTCTACCGCACAAAAGTCGTACGGTTGAGCTCCGCAATGCGCATGGAGCTTCAACGTTTTCGCTTATTTACCTTCAGCAAAATGTTTTTTATTATTTTCATTTCGGTACATCAAAGATCTCGGCTGTCGAATCCCCTTTCAGAATTCACTGAGGTACCTACACCAGCACATTTTATGCACTTTGAAACCTTATCTTGTCATAGGACGTAGGCCGCATTTTGTTCAAAGTTTTTGGTTTCATGATTTTGCAAACATTTCAAGACCTTTGAGACCGTGGCCGCTAATAAAGCTGCTAATCCTTATCAGATTTATACCAATGCTTACCCACCGAAAAATAAAATAGTCTATTCCTTAGCCTCCTTTTCTCGCCGATTGCAAATTTCCAATCGTCAGCCTCGAATTTGACCCTGACTCTCCCCACCCCGTCGACTCGGACTCCGCCGAGTCGGTGCAGCCGAACCTGGCTAGACTCGGCCGTCAGCCAGCCAGTCAGCTGATCGTCGTCTGCGACGGCCGACGGTACCGACGAGACTCATGTTGCAGCGCGCCGGCAGGGGAGGGACGGGGGAGGAGCGGGGAGGGCATAAAACGCCGACCCGTCGGGCTGCGAGCTCAGTCGACCAGCTGCAGCACTATTGGTGGGTGGGCGGTGAGGGGTCAGGGCATATTCGTCCGAGTCTCGGGTGGACTGCGGTGACCTTCGGTGATCTCTGAAAACCTGCAGTGATCCGTGGTGACCTTCACGTCAAGCAACCCTCGGCGTCGGCGATACAACCGAACCGTTTTCAAAGAAGATCTCTCGAGTGAGTTGGTCAATATTCAGTGTGCAATGGGTCATTCATTGACCTAAGGGCCGATTAGTCGAATATGATACCGTTGAGAAGCACCTACCTCATCTGACACCTACCTGACCTCTGAGTGACCCGGCGTGACCTCGGTTTGACCCTGACACCGCCGAGTCATGACTCCGGAGCGGCGGAGCCGAGCAGCTGCTGCTGGCGACTCTCGAACGAACTGGAAACGACACGACCTCTGACCTGCTGACGTCATCGCGCGGAGGTGGGTCCACCGTGATCGGAGCTATGCGTGACGTCATGTGGGCAGCAGTGTGACGTCACTCGTGGCATCTTGATAGAAAACGGGATAAGGATTCCTGGGGATAATCAAAAGTTTGTAGCACTTCGCTCACCCTTGTGCGGTGGAAAAAAGAAGGCTTTGTCTCAAGCTTATCTATATTGGTTGTTCATTTTTGTCTTTTTTTGTGAGAGGGATATCATACTTTTTTATAAGCAAAAGACTATAAAGTAATGAAAGCAATATTGAAAAGCGTTACATTCTGATCAAGGAAGACACACAGTGCACTAAAAGCTATCATTTCTTTGATATGTTGCTAAAACCTTTTACTTTTTCATTTTAACTTCGCATGTTTTTGCTATGACTTCGCAGTTCAACAGCTTTGAGTCACTCAAAGTGAGTCAAAGTGAGTTCAGTGAGTCATCACTGAATAGGCCATATGTTCGCTATTACCCGTTTTCACGACGGCCATCTGGTACACATTTGGTGCACATCTAGTACAGATTAGGTGTAGATTTGGTCAAATCAGGTTCAGTGTGTCTCTTAGCAGCCATCAGCTAGGGTTGCACTAATTGCTTATATGCCTGCTTAGTCATATTATCAGAGAGCATAGGCCTCTTGCACCAATGCTTGGATTATTTTGCATCGTATGCCCAATCCAAGACTCAAATGTGACAATTTGCGTGTAAAATTTACCAAGCACCTGTAGGATTATGTATTGGGCTATTGCAAACAAATTTGCAACCGTTTGATTAGCTTATTCTGAAACCGGTTTTTCGATTTTACCTAGCTAGGTAGTTTGGTGCAAGAGGCCTCATCATCGATTAAAGGGACCCTCCCACCTTAACATTAGATTTGAGTTGAGATAGCCAAAATGGGGTCCCTGGCTCACAATTACCGGTTTCGGCACTCACAACATCGAGAAATGCCTTAAATCGGAAATATTGAATTTCAAAATTGCAGCATTTTGATTCAGAGGGGCTAATGCATAGGAATACCCCTCTGAATGTGTGACGTCATCGCAGATATCTAACGATTTTTAAATGTTTGACTAAAACGCTTTGTAGCACGCGGTGGTATATGCTGCTTTGCGCGCAACAAATGCCGCACTAAATAAAGTAGCTAGGAACAGCGGAGATCCCAAAAAGTAAACAAAAGTAAAAGTCTAATATCTTGAAAACCGGTGAATATTTTTTGATGAAATTTGGTAGATATTCGTTTTTGCTCTTTCTGAACCGAGCGACATCACTTTCATGCCAATTCATTAACTTTTTTTGAAGGTGGGAGGGTCCCTTTAAAACACTGAAATAAATTCATAGTTCTATGAATTTATTTCTTAGAACTTTCTTGTCCTCAAATATCTTCATTCTAATGAAGATATTTGCTGTAAAAGAAATTAGGTGCAGATTTGGTCAAATCAGGTGCATTCGCCGGATAGTCTGTCGTGAAAATGGCTATTATTTTTCCGTCCAGGTCGCAATATTTGAGGGCATGTCAAGCACTAGAAAACACTTGATCGGGCCGACGGGCTCCTTCAATGCTAAACGTCGCGTTATGCTCATATGAGTCGCACTTCCTATATGCATACGTAGATCTGCACGTAACTCACGTTTCAAGGTGGTAATTATACATGTAACATGCTGTCAAACCATCATATACGTCATGCCACCTACTGAGACAATGCAAAACATGCTTACGTCTGTAATGCCTCTGTTTATTTTCTTGTCATTTCACATGGTTGCAACTGGTATGTTCCATGAACTGAGGTGCTAATTACGGAAATATAATCCAATGGTATGCAGGAAAATATACCAGCTGATCCTGACATGCTCCAAGACAGCTCAACCTTCACGGCTACATAACATGCAATGCATTGGTGTGACGCGTGAAATAACATAAGTCAGGAGGCAATGTAACACGGTATCTTGCGATCGCATAATACGTGCATGCTTAGTAGGCTTTTCGCAATAAAAGACGTTTGGGATAGAACTCCAGTATTTTTCTTTATTTGTGTATGCATTTGCATTATGTACCTAACCCTCAGACGCAAGCATTTATCTTTCAATATTCGGTACCAGATCAGCATAATGTTTCAATTTTCGACTCTTTGCCCCTCAGTCTGTCCTCAATCTTCAGGTCTGTACTCGTACTTCTGTCCTCAATCTTCAGCTTCGTGTCCTCAATCCTGTATCCCACCCAGTCCCTGCTCCCCACTCACTGCAACCCGTCTCTCAGCCCCGTTCTCCAAGCCTTCTCCCGATCCCAATCCCGTCTAGTTACAACCCAGCTAACCTCTAGCCTGCACGTGCCGCGTGCGGGCAGGCTTTACGTCAAAATCCGTCATACGTCAGCTTGCGCCGCCCCATCTAAATCTGCTGATGACGTAAAGATGATCAGAGCAAACCATTGCAGTGGCGGTCAGAGCAGATGGTCTGCTTGCAGATGACAGCCGAATATTTGTTTCACCGGAAATAGACTCCAGTGAGGTCAGCGAGCCCTTCCGTGACGTGGCAATCGTCGCAACTTGGCCAAAAATAAGCACACTGAGCATGCGTGGTTAGGCTCGGATTTGATGAAATGTTCACGACCTATACACGACCTTACATACCACTTATTCGACTTTGTTTTGTGACACGGAACGATTTTTTTATCATTGCAGCTTACGAAGTGTCTCATCCGCATCAACACACAAGTCCTTCGTTCGTAACAGCATGCACCGCATTTTAATTTTATCCCACCTCCACCGATTGCATTGACCTGTCCGGCTCACTTGTGCCATGCTCTGCCCTGTGTTTCAGGATGGGGAAGTGGTATCACGTGGAGGCCTGTCCACTCGATGACCGGGAGGAACAGTCCCACGCCGACCTCCATCGCTGCAAATCTCCACCCGTCTTTATCCTGTCTGTCACCCTTCTTGAGGTGAGTAGGCGTTGTTTGTTATTCAAATTGCGACAGTATTGTATTGTATTGTATTGTATTACCTTCATGGACAATCCACGCGGGGCGTGGCGATTACAGTCCATTCTTTTAGGTAGGTACAGTAGGTACAGCTCGTACAGCTCGACGACTTCATGTATGATGAATGCTGGTAAATTAGCGAAAGTCGGCAGGAAGCGTGCGCTATGGCTAAGAGATAAGCAGCCTCTCTCGTAAAATAATGACTGTGGATTTTCATTAATTTACCCCTTTCAATCTCGTGCCAATATTTAGTCTGCCGGGGATATTTAAACGGCGTAAGGTTTACACGAACCGGATTTGATTCGACGTTTGCTGATTAATCTCACACACTCAGCCATATGTTTTAGCTGACAGTTTAGGCGTAGCATGCCGGGGGGCTGTCTAAGCTGTCACAAATCGTGTCTGTTTCGGAAACGATAGTCACGCTGTGTGTGCGTATCGTGAGCTGTTACAACGTTAGATATGTGTGCTCGCAAAGGTGTGTTGACTGTTGATGCTTGATAGCTGCTTTTTATTACGTTTTGGAGACATGAGACATGCTTTCAAAGTCACTCGAAGATAACCGCAGCGATCATTTCGCCCCGACGCGATGGAGCGAACCATTTACGCTGTTGCTGCTGCTGCCACCTGTAGTCAAATGTGCGTATCACCTGTCATGCGGCACAGTATACTTCCAGGCGCTTACCGCTAGTGACATCTAGGGGATCAAATATAAGCTTTCCTAGCTACCACGTAATTGAAGGCTGGAGGATATCTGAGCTATCCATCGAGATTGGCGGCATTTCGCGTGACTATTTAACCCAATTATCTTGTGCACATTATGATGCATGCAGTAGGTATCCGTTTCTTTCTTGGATCCCTGAATCCGATGCGTCACCGATTCTGGCTAGTGCACTGTTGTAACCGATTCAGGTCACTGACGTCACCAATTCACCTCTGTGACGTAACCGATTAGGGTCAGTGACGTCACCAGATGCCACCCGTTCCGCGGCGCCTGGGGCTGCCGAGGTCAACCGTTCTCTTCCCTCTCAGCTCCTCTCCTGTCTTTGTCCAGGCTATCCCAACCCCAAAACCGTGACTTTTGGCAGTAGGCTGTATTGCTGACCTACGATGTCATTCGGATGTCATTAGCAATATCCACAACAGCCAGCGATCAGTATAATTGCCAATCAAATAGCTTCAAGCCTGAGCTATCCAGCAAAACAGCACCTCGCTCTATATTCGGACCAGCCGGGGCCGAAACACGACTTGGCGAGGCCCGCTGTCGACGATTTGGCCTAGCTGGGCGTCCGAGAAACAAAACAAACAGACCCCCACTGAACAACAGACACCTGGCTGGTTCCATCATTGGGAACATTACCTTCCGAACATTTATAAGTGTCGCACAGGATAGTGAGCTAGAAAGGACTCCGTTAAGTGGATATATGCGGCTGAACTTGCAATGTTTTGCAACCAATCTGCTCGCCGCCGGGCCGCCTACGACTCACTGAGATGAGATCAGAGCACCTTAGGGCGGGGGCGGGGGCGGGGACGGGGGCGGTGCGGGGGCGGACCAGGCCCGGCAGCAGCGTCAGCGGCCGGCGCTCGGGTCTAGGTATAGGCTAGAGGTCGCCCTGTCAGGGGTCACCGTGTTGCCAGGCGTTGCTTGTGACGTCATTGGCGCTGCCAGACGGCGCCGGGAGCCAGTTTCCGGCAGTTTCAGTCAGCTGATGTCTGGCCGACGGAGGGGGGTTGGGGGAGGATAATATTTGGGAGTCGACCTGCCGCAGGGGAGGGGAGGGGGAGGCGAGGTGCGTGGTGAGGGTTTGCAGTAGCCGCTGAGCAAGCCGGGACCGGATGCGGCAAACTGTTTCTAGCTGGGACAGAGCCCTGCGGGGGCCAGAGATGCTTTGTTGGTGGACTATTAACACGCGCAGTGGAAGGGGGGGGGGCGGATTTCGCCCACCCCTCCTGTTTTTCGCCAGTAACTCGCGTCGCAAGCATAATATCAATGTGAAATTTCGGCTACCTGTCCAGAATTGAATTGCGGATCTTCTCGTGCAAGAAGTAAGAAAATCGGTTCACAACTTTTCTAGTAATAGCGGTGTAAAGTCAAACATCCTGCCGCCGCGGCGGCGCGGCGGCGCGGCGGCCGGCGCTAGCCGTTACGCGCCGCCTGAATTGTAGACTGTGCCGGGGCGGGACGGTTCCGTCTTTACATCGCGCTCCTTACCGCTAATTATATTAGATTCGCGTCAAATTCGGTGAGAAGACTGAGAAATGTACAAGCAATCATATGGTTAAAGAATTTTGAAAATCGGCCGGTAACAACTTGAGTTATGAGTGTGTAAACACAAAATTGTGATTGCCGCGTTTCCCGCGTCGGCCGACGCCGCTTCAGCCGGCGACATCTTACCCTTAGCAGGCTTCTAACTGCCATATTTATTGTTGGATTATCTAGAAATTCACCATACATACTCACCAATGTTTGTTCTTTCGTATAGTGAAAGATTTAAAAAAATCGGCCCGTAACTTTTTGAGTTATCGGCGTGTAAACGCAAAAAAGTCGCTAATATGGCAGATTTGACCACATTTGACCTCATTTGACCTTGAAGATATTGACCTAGGGTCATGAAATTCACACACAACAGAGTTCCCCACGGCCCCCACCTACCCTCCAAATTTCGTCTTTCTAGCTCCACTGGGAGCTGAGATCTTAGGGGGGGGGGGCGACATCCGCCCCCCCCTTCCACTGGGCGTAGTACTCGCAACCCTTCCACTGCGCGTGTTAACACAAGCCATAAAATATGCGCTGTTTGCTTTTATTTTGTATGGTTTCTACCTGATGTGTTTTATATACAGCAGTGCTGATTTCATGTGCGACTTAAACGTGATTATTGATGCTAGACTAGAAGGCTTATGTAATCTATGAGTTAAATTATTTTAATCACTGAGCTTGGGCTGAACCAGGGGCGTAGGCAGGGGGGGGGCCACTGGGCCATGGCCCCCCCCTTGGGCGCCGAAGGCGCCCTTTGCGATTGGAGGGCGCCGAAGGCGCCCTCCAATCGCAAATGCAATTGTGATATAATCGAATCGAAAAACAATCGCGACTGGAGGGCGCCCTCCAATCGCGAATGTGTTTACAGGGAAAATACGGATGGAGGGCGCCCTCGGAGGACGCCCATTCCAAATACGCCCTCCAAATACGGTTGGAGGGCTCCCTCGGGCGCCCTCCAACCACATTTGTAGGCTGTAGCTCTCTAAGCGTAACGGTGGTCGCCTATGTAATCCGCTGTCCTGTAAATAAGCGCCCTCTCACCCGAAGGCGCCCTCCTGTAGGTCGCCACCCTGCTACACATTGCCGCCCTTCTGCTGATCGGCGTCCTCATAATTATTGGCGCTCTCCTACCTATTGAGCCCTCATGTGAAATTTTGAAGGCCGCCTTTCTCCCTTTTGGCACCCTCTTGTTCAGTGCCGCCCTCCTACCTATTGGTTCCCTAGTCCTTCCTGTTGAATGTTAATCGGGGCCCTTCTCCCATTGGCGCCCTCGTGTAGATCGCCGCCCTCCTAACCACTGGCACCCTCCTGTTGATCACCGCCCTCCTATCCACTGGCACCTTCCTGTTGACCAGCGCCCTCCGCACAGACGCCCTCCTGTTCGTGTCATCCTCTTGAGCAAAGGCGCCCTCCTCACCATTGCCACCCCCATTTTAATCGTCACCCTTCCGCTCATTGGCGACTTCCAGTTGATGACCGCCCTCCCACCTATTGGCGACCTCTTGTTGATCGCCACCCTCCTATTGGTGCTCTCCTGTTCCTCGCCACCCTCTTACCTGGTGGCGCCCTCCTGTTGATTGTTGATCGGCGCCCTCCTACCTATTGGTGCCCTCCTGTTGATCGCTGCCCTTCTATCCATTGGCGCCCTCCTGCTGCTCGCCAACTTCCTACCTATCGGTGCCCTACTGTCGAAACTCGGGATGTTGATCGGGGCTCTTCTACCTATTAGTGCCCTCCTGTGGATCGCAGCCCTTCTACCTACTGGCAACATCCGTTGATCGCTGCCCTCCTATCATTTATTTACTCCTTTGGCATGTTTTTCAACTTAGTCGTTCTATTGCACATAGTTGATGTCTTGCCTGTGAAAACTGCCACAAATGAACGTGCATTCAGCACAATGAATGAAGTATCTATACCTACCAAAACTATCTACGCTCTACGATGCATAAAACACGTCTTTGGTCTTAACGGATTGATCCTACTTTACGTGCATCATGGCATCTATATGGATTACGATTAAGTATTGTCAACAGGTTCGGGCGCAACAGCAGGCATCTTAAGTTTCGGTGATTGAAACTGGTTATGTGGGTACACTGTATGCATCTGTGAGAAGGCTATGAAGGCTGGTCTGAGGTAATTTGGATGATGTTTACGCATCTCGCGCTCCGGTATCAATCCGATACAGTGATCTGGTGCGTAGATATGCCACCGCCAATAAACTTTTATACATCGACACCCATGAGCCAAGCTTTCTGTACAGTTTGTGTGGCAGCGGCCCGACCAAACCTTAGGTATTTTTTACACCTTCAAATTTGGTAAAAGAGCGAGAGGAGCTTTGAACAGTGATCGTATAAAAGGCGTGCCTAAAAAGCGGAGGAAAAGGTTGTTTTCAAAAATTTCGCGCGCCTTCGGCGCAGCATTTCAAGAACACTTGACCTTTTGTGACCTGGAGTATAAAGAATACACACGATGCAAAATCAATGCAGCACGACCTATACGAGGTTACGCAAAAAAAAAAACTGGTGGCATGGTAAAAAACGCCTCCCAACCCCCCAACCCCCACTGAGCGATTTTTTATCTCGCGACCGTATGGCGCCCTCCTTGGGTGAGGTGGCGCCCTCCAAACCCTTGGCCCCCCCCTTCGCGATTTTCTAAATACGCCGCTGGGCTGAACAAAAGGAGGCAAGAATTAAGGAGGTCCCTT